ACAACAGCAGCTGGATGCCAAGGGTCTCTTATTCCTATTTCCTCGATCCAACAAATCTCACCGGAAGTTTTGCTTTGCCACTCCAAGGGAGCGGTTCAAATGGCTGCCTTATTTGTGCCGGACGACCGGAGGATCCAGGGCGGAGGAAACCACCGAAGACCTTCCTTATCAGTGAAGTCCAGGCCGCTCGCCGCCCTCTTTAGATGTGTATCCGTCTGCCGATTGGACGCTGCGGGCACCACTGATCTGATTGCATCTTAACATCAGTGCAGTATTAAGGGCGAAGGAAAATAACACTTACAGATTAAATCTCAAGGGTCACTAAGGCGCAAGTGAGGGGAAGCAGGAAGGCAATTATTCGAATGGCATCCGAACTACACGGGGCTTTCTATGGGCCATTATTGATGCCCCCTAAAGTTAGCCATTTCCCCGCTTTTGATTGGATAATACCTCTTCATCACAGAAACACACCATGAACAAATAAGTTTCCCTTGGTGTCAATAAACCATAAAAAAAAAAGGTAACTAAAAGGTCCAAATGTTCCCATAAGCCTTTTTCCGGGAATGCTCATTAGCCACAGTTATTGTATTATCTATATGCTAGCTCCTGGCCAGAATTTAGGGAACACCTCTGGTACATTTTGGGAGTTGGCAAAACACCGTCTGTGGGTGGTCTTAAGTTTCTGTGGGGGTGGTTTATTATGAAGTTGAAAATCACGTCCTTACTTTGCACGGACTTCTTTCTGGAAGGACTGATTCAAATAGTCGGAAGAATTGGTTGAGTTTCCTAAAAGTTTTCTTGCCAAATCCCAGCTCTCTCTTTGAGCAGAAGTAAAGTGTATTTCCCCTTCCTCATTTGACTCCTTGGCCAGAGCTGCTGCCCATTCTCCTGTTGGTGAGGAGAAGAGGAAGTAAATGGCAGCTGGGTCTTCAATGTGACTTTGTCTTTTCTGGTCTCTTTGCGCATACCATTTGTGTATCTCCTTTGGTTTCCAGGTCGGTTGGACAAAGTACATGTGTTTCAAGAGTTGTTTACAGAGACAGTCTGAAAACCAGGGGGAGGATAGACTAGATGTCACGATACAAATAAAACATAATACAATGACGACGTAGATGGGTCATAATGACTAAAATCATAATGTACGGAACTTAATATACGCTAAAGGTTTCTAGAGGGACGTCCAAAATACAAAGTAATAGGAAACACTTCCATCCAAAACTGTTCAAGTCTAACAAACTTTACTTGTTTATTTCTACTACTTTAAACTACTTATTGTGCAATGCCTTGTTTTTGATCTCCCAAATAGGAATTCATAAAGTACTTTCTCATCTTAAAAGCCTTGAATAACAACAACCAACAACAACAGACCCTTAGTGTTTGAAGTTGAGGGGCCTGTGTAGTGGTGTGTTTCTCCACTCAGTGGATAATGGTTTTTATAGATCACACCCTCCATTGAACTGCGCATCATCCAAACAATTCATCTTTACACCTGTTCACTCACGTTCAACACTCCACCTCTCCACTCTGCGTCTCCAGTGATGTTTCCAGACCCAACATGCATCTGTCTGATCGGGAAATGACTTTTGAAGATCCTTGACTTTATGGATTATTGGATATTGACGTTCTGCAAGTAGAGCACAAAGTCAGCCATCCATCCGTCCTTGCTGTGCTAAGGTTACCAATGAAACGTCTCAGAGGGGGTTAATGCTTCCGTCTAGCTTTAAGTAAAAACTATGTGTGTGTGCTTTATAATCATGGAATCCAATATATTTAAGATAACCAATAACAGCACGTCAATTAGAAGTTTAAACCTCCATGACACTCTCCCAGATCTCTTTAACTAACCGTGCAATGTGTTCATTTGAAACATTAACTAAGCCATACCTGTAACGGTATTAATTAGTATACATTTGTCCAAAGTAGGTTTTTAGTGTTTGCTTGTGTTTGAGGAACTCCCCTTTGGGTGACCCCAAAGTCAGAATGATGACTTAACAGTTGAAAATGAGCACCTGAAACGCACCCATTGTTGTTTTTTCCTTCCTTCTAGTTCCTGATTCCTACTTCCTTTCTTTCCCTCCTCCCACTTATCAGCCCAACCACCCACC